CTGACGCCACCCCTTCGGCGGCCTCAGCAGCCTCCAACCAGCTACAGGGGTTGGCCGCGCGCGATTGCTGCGACCGATCACAATGCGAATCTGGGACAGAAGCTAAGGGCAAATATGAGGTCTACTGCACGCCGCGTGAATACTGCACTCGCACAAACAAGAACGACCCATACCCGTGGGCACCTTCTGGCCTACGCGGTCAGAGACATTATGCTTTGTGCGTCGTCGATCCTGACTACGTCGAACGCTTGCAGCATGACGAGTACGTGATCGCACATGCCCCCGACTTCGGCCTTGCGCCATGATCGTGGTACGCAACGTGTACTTGACCAATTCTTGGATCGCCACGTCAACATTGGCCAGAGTCGAACGACATAGGAAGATGGGCAGCGTTCAGTGTCGCATCCTCTTCCGACCAGATCCTGAAAAATGTCCACCGCAACAACAATCAGACCCTCAAGACTTTCCTGATGAAAAAGGGTGCGAGCCCCGGTGGGAGCACTTCAATCGAAAAACAATGAGCACGGGGGGAGATCAAGAACCCTTCTTCTTCTTCTTCAGAACTGTAAGTTCAACAACAACAACAACAACAACAACAATCATTTTACCCGAACGCGTGGTGTTCTCCCCAGTGCCAGGGTTTTCATACGACACCAGGCAATACCCCCACTTCGTGGGGGGGCATTACAAGCTCTACCAAATATCCAAACGACTCTTCGCGACCACCCAAACCCAGCTTCCCGCCCTATGACGTTGGGACACTTCACTTCGTGGCGTGCGGACGACCGTGGCTACTACACTGGCGTGGGGTACACACCCACAGAACTTGGTCACTTATTCGGGGCGGTGTATGCCCGCGAAAAAAAACGAATCTGTCCCGCATGGTATTATTTGACAGGGATGATGGCCCTGGCAGGTGCGCAACCGTTGTCGCAGAAGTTCGAAAAAGTTGCTCGCAAAAGCCCGTTTGACAGAAATGTTTAAAAAGTGTTGGGTTTCCTACGAATCCGCAAGAGCGCGCGGGATGAGATTTTGACATTTTTTTGTTGAAAAACCATTGGTTTTTTGATGTTTTTATGTTAAAATCGCTCCGAACACTAAGCTTTTGGAAGGATTTCGTCTTGCGCGCGCGAATGTCCACTTTACCTTATTTTTTGCAAGGGATTCTTGAAATTTGATTATATTAGAACAAGAAATGTCATTTTATAGTGTTTTTTGCAAGGGAAAACGGATTACAACAAAACAACCGGATCTTGATCAACTCGAATTACCTGAGGCTTCCTCACGAAAATGATGAAAACGTGGCTGCGGCCTAGGCGCGGCGGGGGGGGCGCGCACCAGGGGGCCCAACAATAATTATTCTTTAGAATAAATAATGTTCAACAACAACAACAATTTTAAGACCGTTCGCCCATAGATGCTCGAGTGCCCAGAAACGCGTACCGCGGACCGTCGGCCTGGCCAGCGGCAGCGCTGATCGGCGGGGCGGCCGCGGACCGTCGACTCGACCCCAAGAGGGACGGACAGGGGACCGACCACGACGACGACGACGACGTCGAAGACGACGGCGACGACGACGACGACGGCGACGACGAGCGAAAGCGAGAGCGAGAGAGAACGACAGCAGGGCCACGAAGGGCACGAAGTAGGCCACGAAGGGCGACAGCGGGGACACGAAGGGGATGCGCATGGGGCCACGAAGAGCGCGAACGAGCGGGGGCCACGAACTGCAGATAAAGCGGAGCCACAGAAGGCGACTATGGGGCCACTGAGGGTAGCAATTGGGCCACGTAGGACAGTGAAGGGGACACAAATGGCGACAGCGGGGCCGCGAAGGCCATGCACATGGGGCCACAACGGGCGCAACTCCTGGGTGCCTGGGTGTCGGAAGCGCGGCGCTTGGGCAAATTGCAAGAAATTCCAACGCAAGGCCATTCTTCAGTAAGTTGCAAGCAAGTCTCCAGCGAGAGGCGACCCCAGAGCGCCGGTAGAGCGATTCCTGAAAAAATGAAGGAGCGTGACCCACCGCCGCTTTACTGATGGAAAATTGCAGCACTTTTCCTCCGGAACCCAGGGGTCTCCCCCCCCCCTCCGAAAATCCCCCCCCCCCCCTGCTGGAACCCTTCCCCCCCCCCTCCCTCCTCCCCCGGCAAACCCCCCCCCCCCCCTAACCCCCCCCCCCCCCTCACTCCCGCCGAACCGTCCCCACTGGTCCCCACCACTGTTGTCTGTCCCCACCACTGTTCCCACCAGGGTTCCACTCTCCCTACTTTCTCCACGGCCCCAGTCCACTGCCAGACTATCCCCACTGTCCCCGCTGTCCCACTGAGCCACTGCCAGACTATCCCCACTGTCCCCGCTGTCCCACTGACTCCTCCGCTGTCCCACTAAGCTGTCCCACTGTTCCCACCACTGTCCCCACTGTTCGCACCACTGTCCCCACTGTACCTCTGTCCCATTGTCCCACCGCCGTCCTCGCCACCGCCTTCACTGTCCCCACCACTGTACCCTCAACTGTCCCACTGTATCCACCACATTCCCACTGTCCCCACACCACTGTCCCCACCACCACCGTCCTCACCACTGTCCACTGTCTCTACTGCTCCCACCATTGTCCTCACCACTGTCCCCACCACTACCGTCCCCACCGCTGTCCCACTGTCCCCACCACTGTCCCGCTGTCCCCTCGCCACTGTCCCCATCACCACCGTCCCCACCACTGTCCGCACCCCCCCCCCTCGGTTTTCGAGGGGGGGGGCGGTCTCGAACCAGTAGTGACCCCCCCCCGTTTTCGAGGGGGAGGGGTGGGGGTTCGAACCGGTAGTGACCCCCCCCCCCTTTCATGATGAAGGGGGGGGGGGGGGGGGAAGGGGTTCGAACCGGTAGTGACCGCCCCCTGTTTTCCGGAGGGGGGGGGGGAGGGGTTCGAACCGGTAGTGCCCCCCCCGGTTTTCCGCCAGCAGCGGTAGAACACGCTCTTTCGAATAAATTGTAAGGTCGGTCCCAGCGAGAGCGCGATTCCTGAATAAAATGCAAGGAAATCTCGGGCGGGAGCGGGGGTCCTGGCTAAATTGTAAGGAAGTCCGAAGCGGGAGCCGTTGTTGTTGTAACCCGGGGGCCAGGGGCCCATTTTGAGCAGGAAGACTTTCCCTGTCGAAAAACAAGGTGCGAGCGTCGAGGGGCACACTTTGATTGAGAAAAAACAATATGCACCGGTGGATGGGGATCAATAGTAATTATTCTTCAGAAGTGAGAATTCAACAGCAACAACAACAACAACAATCATTTAAGACTGGGGACACTCCGTTCTCACCAGTGCCAGCGTTTTCATAGGAGGCGGGCAATACCCCCACTTTGTGGGGGGGCCGGTTCAAGCTCTACCAAGTTTCCAAACGACTCTTCGCCACCACCCACACCCAGCTTCCCGCCCTATGACGTTCGGACACTTCACTTCGTGGCATGCGGACGACCGTGGCTACTATTCAGGGCCCCGCGGCCGACGACGACGGCGTGCGCGCGCGAAGAAAAAACGAATGTGTCCAATATGGTATTATTTGACAGGGATGATGGCCCTGGCATGCGCGCAACCGTTGTTGCAGAAGTTCGAAGCACGTGAAAAAGTTGCTCGCAAGAGCCCGTTTGACAGAAATGTTGAAAAAATATTGGGTTTCCTCAGAAATCCGCAAGAGCGCGCAAGATGATTTTTTGAAACTTTTGTTTGAAAAACCATTGGTTTTTCATGTTTTTATGTTAAAATCGCTACGAAAACTAAGGTTTTGGAAGGATTTCATCTTGCGCGCGCGAGTGTGCACTTCGTGTCATTTTTTCAGAAGGATTCTTGAAGTTTGGTTATGTTAGAACAAGAGATTTCATTTTGTAGTGTTTTTTGCAAGGGAAAGCGGGCGTCAACAAAACAACCGGATCTGGATGACATCGTTTTACCTGAGACTTCCTCACGAAAATGATGAAAATGCGGCTGCGGCCTAGGCGCGGGGGGGGGGGGGCGTGCACCAGGGGGCCCAACAATAATTAGTGACCGATCCTCTTACACGGGGCCAGGGGGCAGCTTTTTCTCAGGAGGAGGTGAGGCAGCCGGGCTCTTGCGAGGCAGAGGCGGAGCTAAGGGTGCCGAGCCTCCTGTGCCCCTGAGGGTAGAGAAAAAAGAAAAGAAGGCGAAAGCGGGGTGGGTTCGCAGCAGGGTGGGAGCTTGAGCCGCAGTGTCATGCGGCCCCGCTCACCCCTCTCCCACTTACTGTATTTAATTCAGACAGTGACCGATCCTCTCACACGGGGCCAGGGGGCAGCTTTTTCTCAGGAGGAGGTGAGGCAGCCGGGCTCTTGCGAGGCAGAGGCGGAGCTAAGGGTGCCGAGCCTCCAGTACCCGAACCCGACTGGTCAACTGGCCGTAGGCCGCACACCATATATTTCATTCATTCTGATCTGTTTGTTGTTGTTTATCACATCCATAAGGTATCGCCCCATCGTATTGCAAAATTGTGTAGGGTAGGCGGCAGCGATAGCAGTCCAATGGATACCTTCTGGCGTCTTCCCTGTCAGTTCGATGTGCGGCTTGTGGGACCTTGAACATATATTCCCACGAGGACAGCAAAGGCGCTCGATAGCTGTACATCTGCCGGCATTCCACAGCGCAATCCGTGTGCGCTTTTTCCACCTAGCACTGAACTGGCACATGTCACAGACGTGGGCCACACAAGATTCGTCGCGTAGTAGTCTACACAGGTGTGGTGCACGCCACATCATAGATGTACTTGGGTTTTCCAAAGCTATCGGTGTATTATGACGATTTGCAAGGCGTATGATCTGGGTAGAGAAGAGGAAGGTGTCGTTACCAATATTTAGCTTAGCCTGGTTAGCAGCACTGAGCCCAGGAAGTCCGAAAATGTGTTCTGAGTCCCGAATAGCAGGCCGTCTAGCAATAGACCAGGTAGTACACGGGGTCCCTAACCAGATGCCAACGATGACGTTCCCGCGGATCCAACCTTTGATAACGGCCTGGAAGGCCGGGCACAGATGGTCCTGGAAAGCGTGGTTTTTGACATCCAGGCTGAGAACGGCGAACCCCTGGGACTTCAAAAACTTGCCGATACCCCCGTTGCCCGCGAAAAGCTCCAGGAAGATAACCCTCCGGTTGGTGGTGGCCTTCCTCAGCGCCCGAGTCAGGAGGTGCTGGAGGTACCGTTTCACCCGTTGGGAGTGGCTCATCTTGGGGCCACCGCAGGAATCTGAGATACTAGCCGTGCTGGAAGTCTGCTCACTGCTCGCTTGACACTGGATTCGAGGACTGCAGGCACTCGCAGCTGGGAGGGCCGATTGCCGACCCCGAACTTGATGGCCTCGGCGAAGCTCTGGTGCACCGCGCTGCCGAAGTTGAAGACGGAGGGACAGATTTGGTTGATCACGCGCAACAGCTTGGTCTCTTTCCCGTACCTCTTCAAAGAGGCGACTGTCGTCCAGCGACCCCGGCGCATGACTTGTTCTGGCGTTCGCTTTCTGGCTGCCAGGTCCTCCGACGCCCCTCCGTGCCGTAGCTGATACGGATGTGGGTCGAAGGGTCCCAGCCCCAGACCCTCGGCCACTGCGATGAACACGTCCCTGTAGAGCTCGCTGCTGAACCCCCACAGGCTCCCGTCTGGCAGGCTGGCCTGCTTCAGGCCGAGAAGGGGCTCCCACAACCACTGCTCGTCGATCGTCACAGCGTCGTCGAAGGCCCCCGTCTTGCCGGGGATGCCGAGGGAGGTCTCGTGCAGCACTAGGCCCATCATGGTGTAGCCAGCACCTGCCACTGGGACCGCGGCGACGATGCTCTTGCCGAGGAGCGCCATCGCCTCGATGGGCCGTAGGTAGCAGACGTGCGATACCGCAACCATGATCGCCATCCGCGGGAGCCCGAGCATGATCATGCCTCCCGCGATCGCCAACGCCGCCAGGCGCGGCAGGGGGAGCCGGGACTGCGCTGGCGTCCGCCGACACCAGCTGACAGCGCACCGGGTCGCCCTCGGCAGCAGGGCCCGCGTCTTCTTGTACAACTCGGGGAAGACGTAGCCCAGCGCTGCCAAGAGCCGGCTCGCCTCGTCGGCCCCGTGGCCCTCCATGTACATGGAGTTCAGATACTCCACCACTACGTCGTCCAGCCCGGGCGCGTCCACCCAGCTCACCTTCGCCACGCGACAGAAGTCGAGGAAGAGGCGGAGGGTCCGCTGGTACAACAGCACGGTCCCCGGCCTCACGGCAATCTTCTCCAACACGCTCATCCAAGGGAAGCGGTCGCAGGCGTCCACCTTCGAAGCCGCCTCCCGAGCCCGGGACGCTCGTTCCTTCTTGAGCTTTCCGGCCTTCTTGCTGAGCTGCTGCTGGCGCGTGCCGCGGGCCACGGACTTGCCCATCACCGGGTCCCCGCCCTACAGGCACGGTCCCGCCCCCTATGTCGGTGTGGCAGGGGTGTGCCTGTGGGGGGCCCTCGCGGTCTCTGGCTTCGGCAGGTGCACGCGGAGGCTGGTGTGGAAGCGGTGGTGCAGGGGTCGGAGCCTGTCGTTGGACCTCGAGCCAGGAGGGACCTGCGAAGAAGCCACACTGCCCGCGGGACCCCTTGTCGGCCGGATTCCTCTCGGACGGGACCCACCGAACGTAGAGGCGACTCCCCGTTGCGAGTGAAAGGGCAGCGACACGTCGGAGAGGTCGGAGGAGATAGGAGGACCGAGCGCGGCCTTTGACCGCCCCAAGACAGAGCGGTAGGTTGTCGACCAACGCCAGAACCCGTGAACCTCGGGCAGCCCCAGATCGGAGGATATGTCGGTATCCCAGGACCAAGGCGTCGCCCTCGAGTTCGAGAATGTTAGACCTATGCCTTACTCTGGTAGCTATAACAGTATTCCAATGTTTGTCGTCCATAAAATCTTTGCTAATCTCGTCGAAACTTACAGCGAGGTCCTCAATGTTAGTCACCCTTGTTGTATCGGCCCGGCTAGAACTGAAACCGCTCCCAGAACCAGCCTCCAGAGGTGTCGTGGATCCCATCCCAGAAGAACTGAACACAGGCCCACCAACCACGTCACAAGCCGCAGCCCCAGTCCCAATCCCAGAAGTACTGATCGTAGCCCCAACCTCCCTGTCACACTTCATACCTCCCCCTTCGGGTCCCAGTACAGTAGGAGCAGGGTGTCGGTCAGGGGCGAAGCTGGAGTCGGAGAGGGCGTGATTCCTAGCGTCGATGCACTGCTCAACCTTGAAGCGCCATTTTTCGGATACTCGGCCAATGGCACCGATCTCGGCTGGGTCAGCCCGCCGTGTACACACGCCCAGCCCGAATGGCGAGGCGTCCGTGGCGAGCACAGTGGGATGCCAGGGCGCCGTCCAGCGCACACACAGGAGTGGCAGAAGACACCTGATGGTCCAAAGTTCCCGGCGTACCGCAGGCCAGAGCTCCGCGACCCCCGGGCCGTTTTTGGTGACATACGCATAGCTGCACTGTAAAATACTGTAAACTTCACGTCTGATCAGGCCCGCCCAGGTGATGTGTCCCAAGAGAGCCCTGAGTAGGTGCCCGCTGCAACGCCTCCGTCGCAGCAGCGCCTCGATTGCAAACCTTAGACGCCACAGATTACGATGCTTTATTGAAAGTCGGTCCCCGCCTGACAGTTGGAGACCAAGAAAAACAGCGTCCTGGGCCCCGGACTCCACCTCATGCAAAATGAGCCCCTTCTCCTCCAGAGACCTCCTGATGTCTCCCAAAACCACCTCGGTAGTCGATTTGTCCCTCCCAACCGTCAGCACATTATCAACATACCCCGCAACGGCAACATCCCCCCCTTTCACTTCCACAGCCGGTAGACCGTCCAGGATGACCAGGGAAGTAGGAACCTTAGACGACGAAATAGTGTGACGAACGACGCTCTGACATAGTAAGAGTGACCAAGACCAGCCCATGGGGAGAACACAGAGCCTGGGGGCGATGACTGTATCTGGGTGGAGTCGTTGCCCGTTCAAAAACTTCAATCCCAGGTGTCGGGCGGCCGTGTATGGCAGCCGAAAGTAGCGCCTGAGAAACGATGGCAAGCCCATCCTGTAAAAAGCTGCGTTGATATCGCCCGCTGCAACGAAGACCGGGCCGTCGGTCTCGACCTGGCTGAGAGAAGATGCAGTAGGTAGTCGAGTGGAGAGTGGGTCCTTGAACGAGTAGTTACACACCCTGGCATCGAATATAACCCGAATTTTACCGTCTTTTTTGGCCGCGAAAAACACGCCGATAGTGTGGGTATCCTTTGGGGCCAGGGTCCATTCGAGCATCCCGCGGTCGCACAAGAGGTGGAGGAAGTCGGAGTAGGCGGTGGGGTTGTTCCTCAAGAAGGGGTCCACGTAGGGTTCCGCGGGACCCAGTTCCTGATGAAGGGAGGTGGCCTCATTAGCGTCCCTGAGCAAATTCACCTGATAGTTGCACAACCAGTCCGAGTCCCCGGCCGACAGCATATTTGTCACACATGTGGCATCTATCTGGTCGGGAAGAGCAAGTAAGCTCCGATTGTACGGCCTCCTGGTGGACCCTACCCCGTCGTCATAGAGTCCTGAGGCTGTGCAGATCTCACGTAAAGATCCCGCACCTGGAGCCGGATCTGGTGGAGGCGCAGAGATGGCAGCGTAGCATTCGCGAATATGTCGGAGGGCGTCGTTCTGACCAGCATTAGTAACGGTGACCTGGCCCTCCGTAGGGGCCTCCCCAGACATCTGATTCAGACAAGCAACCCCGTCGTTGGCCCAATCCCTGTAATACTGAACCCGACGCCTCCGACGCTCCGCATTCCGACAAGGCTGCGCTGCCCCCTGGCACTGCCTCACCTCCTGTGGCAAAAAAGGCAAAGGGAAAATGTCACGCTCGCGAGCATCCCTGGTCGCTGGACCGGGCTCGTGCCTAGGGCCAGGCGTCGGGGGGGCAAGAGAGCTCTGGCAAGCGGCGGCGCCGTGGTCCAGGACCGAGGGTGGCGCCAGCCCAGGGGGGGGAGAGATATGTACACGAGTGAGGCCGGGCGGCACAGAGCGTGGCCCGACTTCGAAGGCCTCTGAAAGATGGGCGAGCGGGCGGCCTGGTCCCGCCGCCCGTGGATGATCAGCCATCATCCTTGCTGTCCTTCTTGGGGTTCTTCTTGTTATGCTTCGCGCTCTGTCTCTCCTCCCGAGCCTTCCGCCTCTCCTTCATGACCGAGACCTCCTTCTGCAGCTCGCTCGACACCCAGCTCTGGAGGGATGGGCAGACCGCGACGTTGCCGCGGACGTGGTCGAGGCCCATATACAAGAAGGCGTCCTGCACGCCGTCCGAGCCTCCTCCAGCTATGCTAGGCATCCTGTCACGATGCCTCTCCTCGGACAGCTGGATCGTCCGAGACATGATCTCGGCCGCCGCGATGTCGGGGCGGTTTAACTGGTCGTAGGTGGCCATACTCTCCAACATCTGGCAGCACATGAGGTGCTGCTCGACTCCGCCGTCGTTCACCTGCAGCTTGGCGTCGGCCTTCCATCGAGCATGGCGCCCGAGGGGCGTCTGGCCGTTGGCCACCATGAACCGACAGAGCCACAACGTAGTGCGGGGCCCCCGCACTGGAAAATCATTCACGGGTGTCTCGACCATGCCCTCCACGGCGAGCCTGAATTCCCTGAAGCGGGCCCCGCTCACGTCCTGCTGGATCGGCTGCACACGGATGTCAACCGTCGGGAACGCGGCGACCGTGGGGGCGGCGGCACCAGGGGCCATGGCGGCGGGCACCAGCACACCGCCTGCGCCGATGGCGGGGGGCGGTGCGACGGCCGCTGCGGCGGCACCCGGCGCGGCCGCTCCCGGCACTGCGCCCGCGGCGGCGCCCAGGGCCGCGCCTGCGCCAGCCACGGCACCACCAGGTCCGCCGCCAGGAGCGGGACCAAGAGCAGCTGCCAAGGCGCCAGCACCTCCACCCAAGGCCGGCACGACGGCCTCCGCGGCGGCGGCGGCCCCGGCGGGGGCGGCTCCGACCGCGCGCCCGACCAGGTTGGGCTGCTTGCCGTCGAGCGGCACCGCCACCCCCCGCCGGGCAGCCGCTCGGGCACGGGCGGCATTGAACACCGCGGGTGTGGGTACATTCTGAAACCGATAAACAGGCAATACAGCGCCACCAGGTCCAGCAGGAGGATCACCTCCACAGGCCCCTAAGGCCATCAATCCGAACGACACTACATCTGCACCATGAAGCCAATCCTCGTCGTACTCATCTCCATCTGGGGTGAGCACGCTCACGGTCGAACCAGCACCAGGCTCGATGAGCACGAGCCGCTCGTGAAAGATGGGCGGACCTGGCACGTTATACTGGATAGCTCCGAAATCACCAGCCTCGATGCCGAGGCTCTGCACTGGAATAGGGGCCGCCATCACGCCGAATTCTTGCGCCGCTGCCTAAGAAGATTCAGCTGCTGGAGCGCAACCTTCTCTACGTCGTCGGTGAGCGGAGCAAACCAGCAGCGGCGGCGGTCGATATGGTCGGCGTGGTCCGAGCCCCGATCACAAAGTACTGCACCACCAACACTCCGAGCGCTCCGACGATCGTGCCAACGAAGAAGAGGGTCGGCCCGCTCGGGCTCGCTGGGGTCGTGTACTCCTGAGGCAGAGAACCTTCCGCACAGGCCAGCGTCGGTGAGCACTGACAAACGCAATCAGGGCAGCCGACTGTGGATGCGCGGACTGCGAAGGAGGTAGAGAGTCCCCGCGCAATCTCAAGGACCAGCTCGTTCATGGGAGCCTGGGCCCCCAAATCGCTTGAGCCGCAGTGTCATGCGGCCCCGCTCACCCCTCTCCCACTTACTGTATTTAATTCAGACATTCTTTAGAATTAATAATGTTCAACAACAACAACAGCAACAGCAACAGCAACAGCAACAGCAACAGCAACAGCAACAGAAAACAGCAACAGCAACAGCAACAGCAACAGCAACAGCAACAGCAACAGCAACAGCAACAGCAACAGCAACAGCAACAGCAACAGCAGCAACAACAACAACAACAACAACAACAGCAACAACAGCAACAACAGCAACAGCAACAGCAACAGCAACAACAACAACAACAACAACAACAACAGCAACAACAACAACAGCAAACATTTTAAGACCGATCGCCCTTATATGCTCGAGTGTCCAATAACGCGTATTTCCCAAACCCTCGATACCCGCCCTTTTCGTCTTCGATCGAGCCCTTTTTGGGGGATATACCTTCCTTCCCTGCAGGCCGGGCCCCTGCAAGCGGCGGGGCGGCCGCGCACCGTCGGCTTGGCCAGCGGCAGCGCTGATCGGCGGGGCGGCCGCGGACCGTCGACCCGGCCCCAAGAGGGACGGACAGGGGACCGACCACGACGACGACGACGACGACGACGACGACGACGTCGAAGACGACGGCGACGACGACGACGACGGCGACGACGAGCGAAAGCGAGAGCGAGAGAGAACGACAGCAGGGCCACGAAGGGCACGAAGTAGGCCACGAAGGGCGACAGCGGGGACACGAAGGGAATGCGTATGGGGCCACGAAGAGCGCGAACGAGCGGGGGCCACGAAGTGCAGATAACGCGGGGCCACAGAAGGCAACTATGGGGCCACTGAGGGTAGCAACTGTGCCACGTAGGACAGTGAGGGGGACACAAATGGCGACAGCGGGGCCACGAAGGGAACGCACATGGGGCCACAACGGGCGCGACTCCTGGGTGCCTGGGTGTCGGGAGCGCGGTGCTTGGGCAAACTGCAAGAAATCCCAACGCAAGGCCATTCTTCAGTAAGTTGCAAGCGAGTCTCCAGCGAGAGCGCGACTCCAGAGCGCCCGGAAAGCGATTCCTGAATAAATTGTAAGGTCGGTCCCAGCGAGAGCGCGATTCCTGCATAAAATGCGAGGAAGTCTCGGGCGGGAGCGGGGGTCCTGGCTAAATTGCAAGGAAGTCTGAAGCGGGAGCCGTTGTTGTTGTAACCCGGGGGCCAGGGGCCCAGTTTAAGCAGGATGACTTTCCCTGTCAAAAAACAAGGTGCGAGCGTCGAGGGGCACACTTTGATTGAGAAAAACAATATGCACCGGTGGGGGGGATCAACAATAATTATTCTTCAGAAGTGAGAATTCAACAACAACAACAACAACAACAACAACAACCACAACAACAACAACAACAACACCAGCACCAACACCAACACCAGCACCAACACCAACAACAACAACAACAACAACAACAACAACAACAACAACAATTACTAGCACGTGGGGACACTCCGTTCTCACCAGTGCCAGGGTTTTCATACGACGCCCGCCAATACCCCCACTTTGTGGGGGGGCCGGTTCAAGCTCTACCACATTTCCAAACGACTCTTCGCCACCACCCACACCCAGCTTCCCGCCCTATGACGTTCGGACACTTCACTTCGTGGCCTGCGGACGACCGTGGCTACTACACTGGCGCATGGGTACAGTGACTTGTTGTAACATAACATTTAGGACGCTAGTTTTTTAGGATTCGGACAGCGCGCGCGGGTAGAAATTTTGAAAATTCGTACAGATGTTTTTCGAGGACCTACGGTGCGATTCGTATGATTTTATGTTGCGCGGTGCTAAAATTCCTAAGAAACCCAATGGTTTTTGAAGATTTCGGCGTGCGCGCGCGAAGAAAAAACGAATGTGTCCCGCATGGTATTATTTGACAGGGATGATGGCCCTGGCAGGTGCGCAACCGTTGTTGGAGAAGTTCGAAGCACGTGAAAAAGTTGCTCGCAAAAGCCCGTTTGACAGAAATGTTTAAAAAGTGTTGGGTTTCCTACAAATCCGCAAGAGCGCGCGGGATGAAATTTTGACATTTTTTTTTTGAAAAACCATTGGTTTTTTGATGTTTTTATGTTAAAATCGCTACGAAAACTAAGGTTTTGGAAGGATTTCGTCTTGCGCGCGCGAATGTCCACTTTACCTTATTTTTTGCAAGGGATTCTTGAAGTTTGGTTATGTTAGAACAAGAAATGTCCACTTTAGCTTATTTTTTGCAAGGGAAAACCGATCGTAACAACACAACCGGATCCGGACTCCCCCGTTTTGCCTGAGACTTCCTCACGAAAATGATGAAAATGAGGCTGCGGCCTAGGCGCGGCGGGGGGGTCGTGCACCAGGGGTCCCAACAATAATTATTCTTTAGAAGTAATAATGTTCAACAACAACAACAACAACCAACAACAACCAACAACAACAACAACAACAACAACAACAACAACAACAACAACAACAACAACAGCAGCAGCAGCAGCAACAGCAGCAGCAGCAGCAGCAACAACAACAACAACAACAACAACACCAACAACCACAACAACAACAACAACAACAACGACAACGACAACGACGACAACGACGACAACGACGACAACGACAACGACAACAACGACAAACAGTTCAGGACTGTTCGCTCCCCAAAAACGTATACCCCGAACCCTCG